CCTCAGTCCGCAGGCCGACGCTCTATCCACTGAGCCACACCGGTCAGGGCGCAGTCTGCCTTTAAAAAAATATTCATTCATTCATTCATTCATTATAAATCTTTATTATTGAAAGTATTACCTGTGTCCCCTTTTTCTCCCCCATCGACCCCCTCCAGCCCGTCCCCAGCCCCCACCCCAGGCCCTCACCCCCTGTTGTCTGTGTGCATGGGTGATGCATCTACGCACACAAGGTTTTTGGTGGCAATCTGCCTCTTTTCACAAAGGTTTTTAAAAACCCAAACTAGAGCCCTGGCCAGTGTAGCTCAGTGGATAGAGCGTCGACGCGCAAACTGAAGGGTCCCGGGGTCGATTCCCGGTCAGGGCACAGGCCCGGGTTGCAGGCTCGATCCCCAGTGGGGGGCGTGCAGGAGGCAGCCGACCCATGATTCTCTCTCATCATGGATGTTTCTCTCTCTCTCTCCCTCTTCCTTTCTCTCTGAAATCAATTAAAAAAAAATAATTAAATTAAGTTACATTTAAAATAATCCAAACTAGTAGACGATAAAGGCAAACTCCTGTATCTAGTCCCAGGCGTTGCTTCAGAAACAGTGATTTCCATTCCACGCGTGTCCCACGCGGCGAGCGCCAGCCCCTCCTGGGCGCGGGAGCCCGAGACTCCCACTGGCCTGGCCGTCAGTCTCCCCCCAAGTCACGTCGGGCAGCACGGCCCTAAGTCGGTAATAGTGGTGTCCGTGCGCGCGGCTGTCACAGGCAAGTGGGAAATGCGGGCCCTGGGACTGGATTTGTTCTGGGTGCCTGCACTCTCTCCGCGTTTGAAGCGATGGGGCTGGGCTCGCATGCCAAGCACGGAGCGCCCTGGAGGTGTGCCGTGTGTGAGCGAGATCTCAAGGGCGGCCCCTCCCGCGCGTCCTCCTGTTACCGCCGTGGCCTGGCTGACCCGGACCGACCGCGGCCCAGGAGCATCTAAGTGTCTGCAGGGTCGCAGGAAAGGGGGAGAGAGAGGAGCTGATGAGAATCCTAATGCTACCCACTTCCTTCTTGTAAAACACATGTCGTTATTGACTTCAGAGAGGAAGGGAGAGGGAGATAGCAATAGAAACATCCATGAGGAGAGAAAATCACTGACCGGCTGCCTCCTGCACGCCCCACGCTGGGGATGGAGCCCACACCCCGGGCACGTGCCCTTGACCAGAAATCGAACCCGGGACCCTTTAGTCTGAGGGGTGATGCTCTATCCACTGAGCCAAACCAGCCAGGGCATTTAAAATTTTTTTATATATTCATTGATTTCAGTGAGGTAGAGAGAGGGAGAGAGAGAGAGAGAAACATCCATGATGAGAGAGAATCACAGATCAGCTGCCTCCTGCACACCCCACACGGGATGAAGCCCGCAACTCGGGCATGTGCCCTGACCGGGAATCGAACCTGTGACCTCCTGGTTCATGGGTCGAGGTTCAACCATGGAGCCACGCCGGCCGGGCTGCCCAGTCCTCTGAAACTGCCACAGACGGGCACCGTGCCGGGGATTGTGCCTGCAGCCGGGAGTGTCCACGAGGCCACCCCACTTCTTCTGTGTGAGGCACGTGTTCTGAGCGCATGTAAAGTGACTCAGACGTTACGTCCCGCCTCCCCCAGCTTCCACCGGCGACACAGACCGCGGGCGTCCATCGTGTCTTCGTCTGTAAAATACTCGCGTTGCGTGCACTGCCTTTCCCAGATCTTCCCCCCAAAATATAAGACCCACAAAGAGGCGAGGTTCCCGGGCATAAGCGTGGGTGAGGTCAGAGGCTGTGGGGGACAGCCCACACTCCTGTGACAATCGCTTGTAGCTGAGTCTATAGATTTCATTTTGTATTTGGGTCATTCGGTTGGTCGCTAAATATCTATCATTGTACGCGTCACCATTGCAGGAGACACTCGGACCATCAGAGTGAATTAGGTGTGTGATGTTTCCAGGGGGCGAAATGCTACAATCTTAAGTAAAAACGAGTGGCCAGGTGCACGGAATTCGTGCACATCAAAAGGGAATTCATTACAGGAAATACTTCAATATGGCTGTCTGCCCTTTCTGTATAATAGCAGTGTCAGAGGTGAAAGGAAATTAGGCAAATGCATATAAAAATCCCCCTCCCGTCAGAGTCTGGGGTGCGCCGTGAAACCGAGTCAAGTCCCTGCCCACCACGTGCGCCTCAAAATCGCACGAGACCCAGACCCAGCCAGCCCCACTCCCTTTAAGCCCTGATGGGTGGGGGCCGCAGCCTGAGGTCCCCCAGCCCAGCCAGACTCCACGCAGCCTCAGGTCCCTGCTGATTGGTCGTTAAGCGTCGTGGCGTGACAACCATTTGCATATTAGCCTTTTATTATTGTGATCAGTAAGGAACCCGGCTGGTGTGGCTCAGTGGTTGTGTGTCGGCTTGTAAGCCAGGAGGTCACGGCTCGATTCCCGGTCAGGGCACAGGCCTGGGTTGCAGGCTCGGTCCCCAGTAGGGGGCGTGCAGGCGGCAGCCGATCCATGATTCTCTTTCCTCACTGATGTTTCTCTCTCCCTCTCCCTTCTTGGCTGAAATGAATTTTTTAAAAAAATATATTTTATTGATTTTTACACAGAGGAAGAGAGAGGGATAGAGAGTTAGAAACAGCGATGAGAGAGAAACATCGATCGGCTGCCTCCTGCACACTCCCTACTGGGGATGTGCCCGCAACCAAGGTACATGCCCTTGACCGGAATTGATCCCGGGACCCTTCAGTCTGCAGGCCGACGCTCTACCCACTGAGCCACACCGGTCAGGGCTGAAACTGATTTTTTAAAAAATCAGTAAGGAGAACCTGGGTTCGTTTCTCTGTGGTGGTGGTTTTAATGGATTTTTTTTGTGTGTGTTTATCTGCTACGGTTTCCGACCGTAGCAGAAGCGCTTGTGAGAACTCGGTGTCTGTCAGGGGCTGTGGGAGGCGCAGTCGGCTCCCCAGAGCGTCAGCACGTGGTGGGGGGCACAGGAAATTAACCCCTTCGCCATCGCGGCATCTCCGTCTACCACGTCCGTGTGCGGGGATCGCTGGCACCCAGAGCTCCCGTGGGCAGCACAGTGGGACCGCCCTGCTCCGGGCTCCGTCCGCGCCCCGGACTGGGGGAGTGCGGGGCCTTCGTGTGGCTGAGACAGCCAGACCGGGCCGTTCCCGCTCGGTGAAGGTCACCAAATGGGGGGCCTTCTGCACGTCGAGTCAGTCTCCCAGCGGCGGTTCTCAGCCTGTGGGTCGCGACCCCTTTGGCGGTCGAACGGCCCTTTCTCAGGGGTCGCCTACGACCATCCTGCATATCAGATATTTACATGATGATTCATCACGGTAGCAACATGACAGTGATGACGTACCAACGAAAATAATTTTATGTTTGGGTAACCACGTGAGGAACTGTGTTTAAAGGGACAGAAGGGTGAGAACCACTGTGTTAGGGTGTCTCCTTCACCCCAAAGATCACCTCTGTTTGCTACACTCCTGCATGCGTGGATCAGATACGTTGGGGCATCCTCAAGGCTGGGAAGATGCTAAGTGAGGTGCTGCGTGTCTGAGATTGTTCTCGATGGCTGTGTGTGCATGTGTGTGTGGTTGCACATGTGTGCACTAGCCTCCTTGTACATATCCACACATGCATGTAAACATGTGTGCATCTGTGTACATGTGTGCATTTTTGTGCATGCAAATGTGTGTGCAGCTGTGTATGTGTGTGTGCATCTCGTGCGTATGTTCACATGTGCATCTACAAGCTATGTACACACATGTGCATGTGTGCACACATGTGTATTCAACTGTGATCACATGCATATGCATGTGTGTGCATGTGCTTGTTTGCATGTGCATGTGCAAGCCATGTGCATGCATATGCACCTGCATATTCAAGTACGTGTTTGCATGTACATATGTATGTACACATGCATTCATGTGCTGTGTACACACCCATGCAGGTGTGTGCACCTGTGTACACATGTGTGTGCGTTCACGTGTGCATGCATGAGCTATGTGTACACGTGTATGCACCTGCGCATTCAACTGTGTTTGCATGCATGTGCATGTGTGTGCGTGTGTGTGTGTGTGTGTGCCCGCAGTGGTCCGTGCCAGCTGGGAGCCTCGCTGTTCCTCCCATGTCATTTCAGCCGGAACCCAGGCTGTGTGTTTAAAACCCTGGAGGGCAGGAGGGGGCGGAACCGGGAGCTTTAATCCGTTCGTCACCCACCTCCGTGAACGTGCCGCGTGCCCGCTGGACACGTCCCGGCTGGAACATGTATGGGGCTGGAGTGACAGTGTCGTTCTGCCCTGGCCGGTGTGGTTCAGTGGATAGCGCATCGGTCTGTGGACTGAAGGGTCCCGGGTTCGATTCCAGTCAAGGGCACAGAGCTCAGATTTCAGGTTCCTCCCCGGCCTGGGCCCTGGTCAGGGCTCGTGTGGGAGGCATCCCATCGCTCTCTCTCTCTCTCTCCGTCTTCCCCCCCCTTCCGGCTCCCTTCCTCCCACTCTCTGTAGCAATAGAAAAAATATCCTCGGGGGAGGATTAGGGAAAAGCAAGTACATAAACAAGTAAATATTTTAAATAGTAGAAAACAACAAAAGTTGTCAATTTGGAAAAAAAAGACAGGTTTCAGTTTTCTTTTTAAAAAAATATATATTTTTTACTGATTTTAGAAAGGGGGAGGGGGATAGAGAGAGAGAAACATCCACGATGAGAGAGAATCATGGATCGGCCGCCTCCTGCACGCCCCCCACTGGGGATCGAGGGTACAACCCGGACATGTGCCCTTGACCGGGACTCGAACTCGTGACCTCGGGCCGGTTCTCTCTTTCTCAGCCCTGCTGCTTCCTCTTTTCGCCACACGCTTCGCCTGTGCCCGAATGCCGGGCACTCCCCTGCCTCCGCTCAGGGCCGCGGGGTTCCGTGCGTGTCCTGCTTGGTGCAGACCCTCCTGGCCCTTCCCCGTGACCCCACCTTCTGCCCTTGTCCACCCCAGGCTCCTCCGTCTGGAAGGCCTTCCTCTTCACGCCCAACTTCGCGCCCGAGGGCGCCAACGGCTGCTTCCCCACCCACGTGTGCTTCTGCCACGGCCACTTTGTCACCCGCCACCACCCGCCGCTGCTCTTCGACCTGTCCCGGGACCCCAGGGAGCGGCGCCCCGTGACGCCCGGGGCCGAGCCCCGCTTCTGGGAGATCCTGGAGGCCATGCAGGAGGCGGCGGAGCGCCACGCCCGCACCGTGGTCCCCGTCCCCAACCAGCTGTCCGTGGGGCGCATCCTCTGGAAGCCGTGGCTGCAGATGTGCTGCTCCTCGTCCCCCGGCCTGTCCTGCCAGTGTCCGCGGGGGGAGCAAGACTGAGGACACAGCCCGAGGCCGTGCGGGGGGGAGCCCCGGAGGCACCCTGCCCGCACCCCTCACTGGGACACGCAGACCGGGGTGCCCGCTCTAGCAGACCCCCCAAACGCACCATCGAGGGCCCCCGGGTGATGCCGTCGGGGGGACATCACGGCTGCCCGTGCATCACAGGACATGTGTTAGCTGTGCACCTCCCGTGAGCCAAGTCGGGGCGCTCACGTACCCGCACGAAGGGGGACCCGCAGCGTGCCCCCCTGCCGTGTGCACACGGACGCCGGGACGGTGCAGGGGGGAACCCATCCACCTGCAGACGGTGTGTGTGAGCCGCGGCCCCGGCCTCACGTCTCCCACAGCCTGATCGGGCGCCGTGGCCGGGAGAACGCCACTCGAAAGGCGCCCAGCCAGCCTCGGGCCACGCGACCCGACCGCGAAGGAAGGCCCGCCTGAGAGTGGCCGCCAGTCCGTGGCCGTGCCCCGAGGGGGAGGCAGAGATGATCAGTATTATAGAGCACACGCAACGCAGGCTTCAGCACGCGTGGGTTCGTGGCGCACGTGAAGGAGGAGGCGTGTAAGGCCCGGAGCCCGGTGGCGATCCCAGCGTCACGGACATCGCCGCCGATGCGATCGCACGGCGACGCCTGAGAGTCCGTCTTCAAGGTGACCGTGTCCCATCCACGTTCCCGATCCTCGCCGGCCGTGGACGTTGGGACACGTGATGTGGAACCGTGTGCCGGAGGGCCACGTAACGTGAAGCATGTAGTTACATGATGCGAACGTACGTGATGTTGACGTGAGGGAGGAGGTTTCCGATCTGTGCGCCGTCGGGAGAAAATGAAGGATGCGTGTTCCGTTCGTTGTTCGCATTCAGAGAGCGTCGCCTCAGAACCGCGTGGCTCACCAGCACGACCCGGGTTCCCCAGAAGTCGGCTGCGTTGGTCACGGCCTTGCGCCGTCTGCAGGTCTTTGCTGGGACCATCCCACAGGAAAATGGAATTATTTGGCTCAAGAGGGACCTCAGCTTGCTTGCTTTTCTAAAGAAAAAATGACCGAATGTATTGGGGGGACGTTGGGCGGTAAAGCTGTGTAGGTTTCGGGGGTAGAATTGATTGATAATCCGCCACCGGTATCGTGTGTCGCATGTTCGCCACTCCATCCACGTCTCCCTCCGTCTCCAATGACTCCCCCTTTGCCCTCTCCTCCCGCCCCCTTCCCTCTGATAACCACTGTATTGTTGTCTGTGTCTGTGAGTTTGTTTTTGTTGATTTCCTAGGAGGGAGATGGAGAGAGAGAGAGAAGCATCCATGATGAGAGAGAATCACGGACCGGCTGCCTCCTGCACGCCCCCCACTGGGGATCGAGCCGCAACCTGGGCCTGTGCCCTGACCGGGAATCGAACCCTGAACTCCTGGTTCCATCAGAGGTTGACGTTCAGCCCTGGAGCCACGCCGGCCGGGCTGTTCTTACCCCTTTTATTCCCAGCATTTCAACGGTGACACACCGACAGGCGTTCATTCGTCGACGAGGTCAGTACGACGGCGTGAAGACCAAAGCCGGGGCGATGAAGGAGCCGGCTGGGAAGCGGACCGGGGACCCCCTGATGGCCGGGTCCGGGGAGGAGGGGGGAGCAGAAACGGGGCCCGCGTCTCGCCGGCGTCGGAAGAGGGTTCCGTGTCACAGGCGTGCATCCCGGTGAGGGTTCGCCAGGCCCTGTTGTCGCGGTAACGCGCTGGGAGTCCAAATAAAGTCCCCCTGGGCCACGCAGGACGCTGGGGTCCGAGCTCTCCTTTCTCCGTGCGACTCGGTTCAGCACGCGTGTGGTGTGCGCGCTGCACGCTAGGTCCAGCTCAAGGGATGCCTCCGGGGTCCCTAGGGCAGGCGTGTCGCACGCACGGGCGCACACGGGCCAGACACTCACGGTTGAGACATGGACGTGGCCGCAAACCAACCCAAAGCTCCCATTTTCACAGAAACGTAGGTTTGTTGGCGATAGAGACGTGCTGAATGCAAAGGGCTGAAATAAATGGGTCGTCGTGAACATGAAATGATAGGACATTTTGATAAAAATTAATGTTTTTTCCTTGAACATTCACTTACCAGACACCAAATAAAGGCATAAATGAATATACGTCATGCAGATAAACCTGTTTTTTTTGTTCTCCGAAAGCGCGATACTTCCTGTTGCGCACACCTAGCAAGTCAGTCCCAGACGAAGGACGCGGCCCCCGGCTGCTAGAACGTTCACTGCCGGCATCAGTGGGGAGAGATGGTGCGCCTGCACGTAAGGGAAATGAATGCAACACGATGACAGTCATCGGTCATTAGCGGACGTCGTAGGTCGTGATTAATAATGACGTACAACAGGATAGTGTAGAAATTAAGTGGCGAAATTTTTATCAACACATTTTTTTTTATTTTTAATATATTTTATTGATTTTTTACAGAGAGGAAGGGACAGGGATAGAGAGTTAGAAACATCGATCAGCTGCCTCCTGCACACCCCCCACTGGGCATGTGTACAACCAAGGTACATGCCCCTGACGGGAATCGAACCCAGGACCCTTGAGTCTGCAGGCCGACGCTCTATCCACTGAGCCAACTGGTCAGGGCTTATTAACACGTTTCTTACATGCCGTCCTATCGGCTGGGCCGCAGAAATATCCGTTGTGGGCCGCATGTGGCCCGCGGGCCACGAGTTTGACACGCCAGGCCTAGGGCAGGGGTGGGCAACCTTTATGTGAGTGCGTGCCAAAACTGGCACGATCTCTGACTCCACACTCTTCTGCGCGCCAACCCTAATGTTTTGAGAACGTGTCACGCCTGCTTGCTATCTCTTAAGGTGTCCGTCTGTGAAGAACCTTGAAGAAATAATAAAATTCATTCGAATGACAAAAGCACAGTCTATGATGATGAAAGATACATTTATTTTTTATTTTTTATTTTATTTTTTTTAATATATTTTATTGATTCTTTACAGAGAGGAAGGGAGAGAGATAGACGGCTAGAAACATCGATGAGAGAGAAACATCGATCAGCCGCCTCCTGCACGCCCCCTACTGGGGATGTGCCCGCAACCCGGGTACATGCCCTTGACCGGAATCGAACCCGGGACCCTTCAGTCCGCAGGCCGACGCTCTACCCACTGAGCCACACCGGTTTCGGCCATTTGTTTTTTAACGTCTACATGTACACTGATGGTCGGACAGAAAACGTCATGACTCCGTGTGATAGTATCAGTGGGACTTTGGCTGCTGCGTCGCTGATGACGGAGATTTGACATCAGGTTTATATTCCGTGACCTTCAGGGATAGGCATGAGCTGCTGCTTTCATCCGTCAGGCTACGCCTGTGACGAGACTTAACAGAATTCATCCCTGAGCACAAAGATTCGCAAGCGTACATGGAAGATTATAAGAGAGGGTTTCGCGTGCCAGCAAAAGTTACGGGCGCGCCGTGTTTGGCCTGCGTGCCAGGGGTTGCCCGCCCCTGGCCTAGGGCTTAGGGGACCGGGTCAGGCGTGCGGAGATGGGGAAGACGTCACTAGCCCCTGACCCCCATGGGGCGCAGAGGGCCGGGCGAGGCCACGTTATCCGTCGCACACTGGGTGCGGCCTTTTCCGGGGCTCCCCAGCGTGTCTCTCCGGTTGTTTCCCCATCACCCCTCCCACTTGGCAGCCTCCCGGACGCATCGCAGCCAGGGCGGGGGATTCGAACCCACAACCCACGTATGCGTCTCTATCGGGAAATCGAACCTGCAGTCCCTAGGTGCGTGGGCTGACGCTCCAACCACCATATCTGTTGCTTCTAGGTTCCACGTGTAAGAGAAAGATACGACACTTGTCTTCATCTGCAGGCCTTATTATCTATACTAATAAAAGGGCAATATGCTAATGAGACTGGATAGACCGGACAAAGCCACGGTGGCGGGGCCAAGGCAGAGGCGGTTAGGGGCGATCAGACTGGCAGGGGAGAGCCGTTAGGGGCGATCAGGCTGGCAGGGGAGAGCAGTTAGGGGCGATCAGGCTGGCAGGGGAGAGCAGTTAGGGGCGATCAGGCTGGCAGGGGAGAGCAGTTCGGGGCTATCAGGCAGGCAGGGGAGGGCAGTTAGGGGTGATCAGGCCGGCAGGGGAGAGTGGTTAGGGGGCGATCAGGCCAGCAGGGGAGAGGGGTTGGGGCGATCAGGCAGGCAGGGGAGAGCAGTTAGGGGCAATCAGGCTGGCAGGGGAGAGCAGTTAGGGGCGATCAGGCAGGCAGGGGAGAGCAGTTAGGGGCGATCAGGCTGGCAGGGGAGAGCAGTTAGGGGTGATCAGGCTGGCAGGGGAGAGCAGTTAGGGGCGATCAGGCTGGCAGGGGAGAGCGGTTAGGGGCGATCAGGCCAGCAGGGGAGGGCCGTTAGGGGCGATCAGGCTGGCAGGCAGAGTGGTTAGGGGCGATCAGGCCGGCAAGTGAGCAGTTAGGAGCCAGCAGTCCCGGATTGTGAGGGGGATGTCCGACTGCTGGTTTAGGCCTGATCTCGTCAGACATCCCCTGAGGGGTCCCGGATTGGAGAGGGTGCGGTCAAGGCTGATGGACCCTCCCCACCCCCGTGCATGAATTCCGTACACTTGGCCTCTAGTAGTTAGCCTAATACCCTCTAGCTCCATCCATGTTGTTGCAAATGGCACGATTCCATTCTTTTTCATGGCTGACTGGTATTCCATCATGTATAGGTTCCCCATCTCCTCTATCCACTCATCTACCAGTGGCCACATAAAGTGTCTTCATGTGTTTTAAAATCAGAGGTAATAGACATGAACGTTTGGGGGTGAAGGTGATGCGCACATGGGTGCCAACTCTGATCGGCTGCCTCTTGCACGCCCCCTACTGGGGATCAAACCCACAACCCGGGTATGTGACCGTGACCGGGAATCGAACCCGGGACCCTTCAGTCCGCAGTCCGATGCTCTATTCACTGAGCAACCTGGCTAGGACCAATGTTTTACGTTTTTATGTAACACTAGAGGCCCGGTGCACAAAATTCATGCACTTGGGGTTGCGGGGGGAGTTGTGGTCCCTCAGCCCGGATTGCAAGAGGGCACAGGCCAGGCCGAGGGACCCCACTGGTGCACAATCGGGGCCGGGGAGGGACCATGGGAGGGCTCCAGGGCCTGTCCGGCCCGTCTCACTCAGTCCTGATTGGCCGGACCCCAGCAGCAAGCTCACCTACCAGTTGGAGTGTCTGCCCCCTGGTGGTCAGTGCATGTCATATCGACTGGTCGAACGGTCGACTGTCTGCCCCCTGGTGGTCAGTGCACGTCATAGCGAGTGGTTGAGCGGCCTTAGCACATCATTAGCATATTACGCTTTGATTGGTTCAATGGACAACAGGACGACCAGACACTTAGCATATTAGGCTTTTATTATATAGCATGCCTTTAGCTTACAGCATAGCTATATGTCTTTATGTTCATGGTTCTGTAAACATTTTAATTGGACCTGGACTCAGGTGAAACCACTGCTTTGCTCCCCAGGAAATTGGAGCTGAGACGTTAGAAGAGTTTAAAATTAGTTATAAAATCATTGTTCTGCTTGGCCAGTGTGGTTCAGTGGTTTTGCTTCGACCTATGAACCAGGAGGTCACGGTTCGATTCCCGGTCAGGGCACAGGCCCGGGTTGCGGGCTCCATCCCCAGTGGGCGGCATGCAGGAGGCGGCTGATCCGTGATTCTCTCTCATTATTGATGATTCTCTCTCTCCCTCTCCCTTCCTCTCTGACATCAATAAAAAATATATTTAAAAAATAAAAATAAAATAAAAAATGGTGCCATGGCTGTCGTGTTGATCGGTCCCGGTTAATGCAGGACAGCGGTTCTCAACCTGTGGGTCACGACCCCTTTGGGGGTCGAACGACCCTTTAACAGGGGTCGCCTAAGACCGTCGGAAAACACGTCTATAATTACGTATTGTTTTTGCGATTGATCACTGTGCTTTCATGATGTCCAACGTGTAACCCTGAAAATCCATCCTGCCTATCAGATGTTTCCATGACGATGCATAACAGCAGCCACGTGACAGTGATGAAGCAGCCACGGAAATAATTTTATGGCTGGGGGTCACCCCAACATGAGGAGCTGTATTCAAGGGTCGCGGCCTTAGGAAGGTTGAGAACCGCTGATGTAAGAGCTGCTTGCTTCCTGTGCTTTTAAAAGTCGGGGTTGCAAACAGTCCGTGAACGCCAAGCCCTGATCTGCCGGTTAAACCCAGAGGGACCCTCTGCAGCAGCTTCTGACAGGCAGGGAAGGGCGTGCGTGGCGTTTCG